GTACTTAATATTCCGATTTCGACGTGACGCCTTCAATATTAAATGTGAGTTCATTCCGGGACGCAGAGAGACCTTTATATGATGATAGGACGGATCTACGTGTCATGGTCATCAGCTCATTTTCATCTGTACATCATCCATTCACCATCTATTCATGATCCCTCTAATCATCCATTCATCATCCACTCACCATTCACTCATCATCCACTCACCATCCACTCACCATTCACTCATCATCCACTCACCATCCATTCATCATCCACTCATCATCCACACATCATCCACTCATCATCCATTCATCATCCACTCATCATCCATTCATGATCCCTCTCATCATCCATTCATCATCCACTCATTATCCATTCATCATCCACTCACCATTCACTCACCATCCATTCATCATCCATTCATCATCCACACATCATCCACTCATCATCCACTCATCATCCATTCACTATCCACACATCATCCATTCATGATCCCCTCATCATCCATTCATGATCCCCTCATCATCCATTCATGATCCCCTCATCATCCAGTCATGATCCCCTCATCATCCATTTATCATCGATTCATCATCCATTCGTCATCCACTCACAATCCCCTCATCATCCATTCATCATCCACTCATCATCTATTCACCATCCACTCATCATCCATTCATCATCATCATCCATATCATATTTATGCATCATTCATCTATCCATCATCATCCCTCATCACCATCTATCCATCATTCATACATTATCCACCCATTCATCCATCTATCTATGCATCATTATCATCATACATACATTATCATCCATCTATCCATCATCAATCTTCATTATCATGCATTCATTCATTCATCCATCCATCATCACCATTCATCATCATTCATCCATCATCCATCCATTATCCATTCATCCATCCATCATGATCATCATCATTATCATCCATCTTCATCTGTAAATTCTAATAGTAAAAATAACAATAATAGTAGCAGGGGCGTAGGAAGGGTGAGGCGGGTGAGGCACTCGCCTTGGGCACAGCTGCGATTGGGCACAGCCAGGGCCAGCCTGGCTGCGCTCCCTTGCGCCTGTTGCCATGGGGAGCACAGGGCACCACGGCAAAAGGAGCACCAGGCGGCCAACACAGCTCGGCCTGGGGGCGGCAGAGAATAGAGGGGCGGCACAGCCTGCAGCTTCTTCTCAGATCCCCGCTGCTCTCCCCCACCTGTATGGGCAGAGGCAGCGGGGATCTGAGGAGGGATGGGACGCTGCATCCGGTGGGGGGGGAAAGTGAGCTGTCACTTTAGGATGGCCAAGCGGTGAGGAGAGAGAGAGAGCAGCTCAGCCAGGATCTGACAGCTGCCGGCTCCCTCTCTCCTCACGGCTCGGCCATCCTGAAGTGACAGCTCCCTACTCCACCGGCTTCTTCACTTTATTTCTTCTGTGCATGCATGAGCAGAGGACCGTTAAAAATCTGTGGTATGTGTGCAGCACCAACACTGGAGTGATCATTTAATCACTCCAGTGTTTGTAAATAACTGGGAAAACACAGTGTCCCCAGTTAGGAATGAACAGGAAGTGCTTTACATCACTTCCTGTTCATTCATGAGTTTCTGAATGGGTATTAGCACTCACACACACACATATTATTACACATGTGCAAAGACTAAAAATGTGTTTCGGACGCAACGAACGGAAACTAAAAACGCTTTTATTAGTTTCGTCAAACGAAATAAATTTTTATGCAATTTCGGAGTTGGCCACTGGTGCATTCTGCGCATGCGTGCCCCCAATCCTGGAGGCACGGCGCATGATGCCGCTCATAGGGGGGCACAGTTTTCTGTTCTTGCCTCAGGCACAAAAGGAGCTAGCTACGGCTCTGAATAGTATAAATAAGCATATAATAAACATAACAGTACTAACATTGATGGAGGAATCACAACACACAGGGACCTGGTAACATTTTGCAATGTCTGTGGTTTGCAGTGATCATGACGGAGGAGGCGCTGATGGCGCGGCGCGAGCTGAGATTGAAGAAGAAGCAGGAGCGCCAGCAGAGGTTGCAGCGTGTGGCTGAAGTCGGGTCTCTGTCCGTGGAACAGAAGCAGCTCATCGCCACCCTCATAGACTCCAACCAAAAACACTTTGACTCCAAGTTCGAAAACTTCAAGGGCTACAGGGTGAGCACACCGAGCAGCAGTGGTGGGGGGTCCTCCATGATGATGTCTTCATCGTAGATCCTTTGAGGGCAGGGCACCGTAGTGACACCTCTTTAGGGGGCGGGTCCATGACCACCTGAACTCACAGTATGTCCTCAGTCTTCCAAGCTGAATGACAGCTTAACAACTTATAGTACAACCATAACAAAAGAATAAAATTGACTAAACATATTATACGTTCTCTTGAACACCCAACTGTTGGAGGTTCTGGGGTTAAACAGCTTCTAAAACCACGCTCGTGTTCTGCTCAGCGAATCTCATGATAACCGGACCGGCCTCAATCCAGATCAATAAAAACTGCTTAATAAGCAGAGATGTAGAAAGCCAGTTTGGCAGGTAGAAGGTCCAGTTCCCGTGCAAAGTCAATATGTAATATATTTCGTAGCTCCGTTATCTCTCCCTATCATCCCTGTACCTTGGGTGAACTCTTCCTCCAGCATGGCAACTCTGATCCAGCAAGCTCTGCCCTTAACGGGTGACCGAAAGCAGATTCTTGGCCCGAACGCCAAGTGCCAGAGCCAGATGGCAGTAGAGTTGGCTGGCATAGCTCACTAACATTACTTATTAACTGGAGATTACCAGATAACCCGACATCGAGGGTACCACGCCTTCAAAGTAAGATGAGGTTTTAACCCTGTGGTAGGCCATAATGGTAACCCTTTCGGAGGTCGTAGGGGACCGAAATGTCCTTGAAAACCACAGGCTGGGAGTTATCTGTCCATCCTCTACCATCTTCTTCCAGCATTGGGGCCCACCATGATACTTGCCCGATAATGACAGCAGTGTACAAGGTCTAGTTTGACCCTTTGCTCCAATAAAAAGTTGGACATGCTTCCCTTACAAGAACAATGACCCCTGATTACGTTGGAACCTTATTACCACCTCCCAGTGGAGCAGAAACAGCCCAATAATTGTGCAAGCAATGTTTAGAAATGGTAGTATTGCTTGTCACCATGAAATGTTCTCCATGCTAGGCCTTCATCTGTTTCTTCAGCCAAGAGTTCATGTACTTACCCGAGTTAAACAGACTCCAGATCAGCTACTCTGGTTGTCCAGGAGAGAGAAACCTCTCAACCTGGAGGGATGACTTGAACATAAACCTGTTGGCTTCCCCTCTCATGGTTAGACCAACTGTGTCCATACAAATTCATAGCTCTGGATAGTAATTTGGGCAAATTATAGGGGCAAATGTGATCATAATATGAATCGGAATGTTTAGTGAATAAGGCATTTGAAAAGTGGCAGGTTTCCTTTAAGTGTAAGATATCACCATCCAGTTGCCCATAGACATCGCCATCCAGTTGCCCATAGACATCGCCATCCAGTTGCCCATAGACATCGCCATCCAGTTGTCCATAGACTTCACCATCCAGTTGCCCATAGACATCGCCATCCAGTTGCCCATAGACATCGCCATCCAGTTGCCCAGAAACATCGCCATTCAGTTGCCCATAGACATCGCCATCCAGTTGTCTATAGACTTCACCATCCAGTTGTCCATAGACTTCACTATCCAGTTGTCCATAGACATCGCCATCCAGTTGTCTATAGACATCGCCATCCAGTTGTCCATAGACTTCACCATCCAGTTGTCCATAGACATCGCCATCCAGTTGTCTATAGACATCACCATCCAGTTGCCCATAGACATCACCGTCCAGTTGCCCAAAGACATCACTGTCCAGTTGCCCAAAGACATCACCGTCCAGTTGCCCAAAGACATCACCGTCCAGTTGCCCAAAGACATCACCGTCCAGTTGCCCAAAGACATCACCGTCCAGTTGCCAATAGACATCACCGGACAGTTGTCCATAGACATCACCATCCAGTTGTCCATAGACATCACCATTCAGTTGCCCATAGACCGGGACATGTATCATCACTGGTGGGACATGTGAAGGTTCCTAAATTTGTTGGTGAGCTGCAGGGACCATGGAGATGTGGCCCATACACATATTGACGCCAAGGAAAGCCCTACACTGCCTGACTGGGTCAAGGCCTACACCAATCAGACCATTCGTGGCCATCCTCATGGACCTTTACAAAAACATAATGAAGATATTTACTGCAGCTGTCTGGCCTCTGTTCCAGCTCACTTTCCTCTGTGTCTCCTTCTTCTCGCAGTTGCAACCACAAGTCGTAAAAGACAAATGGGGAAACTCACCACTATCAAGTCCTGATTGCAGCCCCAAATACTCAAGCCAGGGCCCTGTGGTGCAGGAGCTGATGGAGAACGATGCCCCCAAAGACTACTTTAAAGAACTGCCCCACTTTGCAGATCTGAGCACTTACATGATCCAGCAGGTCATCAAGTTTGCCAAGGATATCCCGATTTTTCGGTGAGTTTATGTTTTGTATTTTCCATTAGGAACCTCAAGGAGCCCTTAAATTAGCACTCGAGACTTCTCCTTTATGTCTCCATGTAATCCAGGGGACAATATAAATGGTTTTCTAAGTGGCACATACACATGCCCATGGAGCTACAGAAAAGTGTTCTGTAGCTCCATGATTCATCCTAGATGTTCCATGCCGCCCACACTCTCTTCTCTCTACATGAGTTTTTGGAAACCTGAAAAAAATAGCCTTCAAAGAACCATAGAACTTGCATATTGGGGAAAACGTCAGCATTGAAGGAAGGGGAGCCACTGTTCTGCTTGGGTGGCCTTCCTCATCCACCATCTTGTAGGAGTTCATAACCAGTGGGAGGGGAGCTTAATTACGTAGAAAGCCCCAATCCATTACTCAACTGGAAATTTATTTTCCGGCAAGCTATGCTGACCAAAGCAAACAATATCTTCACTCTATGGGTTCACCATAACATATAATAAGCAGTAAGAGTGCAACACCTTTGTTGTGGTCTTGTGGCAGGAGTCTCAAGCCACACAGGGCAATTCTTGCTACTGGAGTGCCTGAGGGACACCCATAGCCAAGAAGTTATTCAGCCCACCAGAGTTCACCGGAAATTAAAAAATCAGTCTTGGTTTGAGTAGGACCTTAATAATGAGGAGCTGTTGTGGTGACCCGGGATCTAGATTGGTTTATCTTCTTGTTCTCCTTATTCTACCCACTGGGGTTATAATTTCACCACAGACAGTTTTTCCATAACCATCTATCCATTTTTTTGTTCACCAGTTCCCTGGGGATGGAAGACCAGATCTCTCTCCTGAAAGGGGCAACTATGGAAGTCAGCCAGATCCAGTTCAACTCTGTCTTCAACCTGGAGACCAACCAGTGGGAGTGCGGCAAGATTATATTGAGCATTGAAGATGGGGCCCTTAGTGAGTACCTGGGTGTTGGGTTCTCTTGTGTATAAGAGCTGTACGATAAGGTTGTATTACACTTTGTATAGAGTGGGGAAAGGCCACCACCTGTTGGGTTTTATTGCTGTCCATTGAGGAAGTTCCATCTCTTCCTGTACTGGTGTCATTGAGGTGAATCATCCTAGAAGAGGCCACAGTAAAAACGTTTCTAGTGTTTAATACTGGGTCCCATTGAGGAGTCTTCTCCTAAGTTCCTGTCCCGGACACAACATTGCTGGGGTTCCATTCTCCATCCATCCCATTATTGTAGGTTCCAATCATGTGTTGTAGAGTCTTTATTTGGAATACCAATCTGTATTTCCTTTTATCCAGGTGGGTTCCAACGGATATTTTTGGAGCCTTTGTTGAAATTTCACGTTACCTTTCGCAAGCTGAAGCTCCATGAGCCGGAATATGTCTTGATGCAAGCCCTGGCGCTCTTCTCTCCAGGTAACCAGAATGTCCTACCTGTTATTAGTCATCTACACATCTCTGTCTACACTTCACGTTGCATACAACGTAGTCACTCCGGCATTGTATTGACACTCATTGCCAGACCATGTCACCAGTTAACAATTGTGTATCTAGCTTGTCGCAGCCCTTTAATATAATGTACCATTGCTCTATTAGACCGCCCCGGTGTCATTGAGCATGACCTCATCGATGAGATCCACGAGAAGACAGCTCTGACGCTGAAATGCTACATCGACTATCACCATCCGCTGCCAGACAGCAGGTAACTCGGTGACGCCAAATATGTTCTAGTGTGTACTTGGGGAGTGTAGGTGTCCACTGGGCTTGCTTGCATGTTTTAGGAGCCTCTGCTTGCCTTGCTCTGATTTAGGGCAGGTTCACACCATTTTCCAGACCAGATCTGGTCCAGAAAATAGTGTGAACCTGCCTGCAGTTCCACTGTATTCTGGACCAGCCAAAATGAGACAAGCAGTATTTTTCTGGTCTGGTCTGGAATGGACTGCGCTGGTGTAAACAGAGGCCAGAAATAGCGTAGGGATAAATTTTAAATGGATTTTGGGTCCGGAAACAATCTGGTCTGGAGATGATCTGGATGTGGTGTGAATGGGACCTTAGTGGAGGACTATCTAGCTCCATCAAGCCCACCTCACCAAAGCCTGTCAGGTTATACTATTCCACATTGGTATCCAAGCCCTACACCATAAAGTCGTAGAAGCATGCACTGTACTGCTGATGGTTGACAATTCATACGAACCTGTAAAGTTATTGACAGGTCCATTTTAAAAAGGTTCTGCCAAGTTGGGTGCTTCTTCTGTCTGTTTGCTTCCTGCAGGGGTCCTCCTTCCAGGTGTCCACATCACTGACTGTGTGATGAAGACTATTCCCATTAGCTGTCTGCCAAGTTGGGTCTTTCTTCTCTCTGTTTGCTTCCTGCGGTGGTCCTCCTTCTGGGTGTCCACAGCACTGCCTATGTGATGAAGGCAATTCCCACTGGCTGTCCACCGGAGGTGTCCTCTCAGGATCCAGAGGATTACAGATGTGGGCCCAAGGAGGGTCAAGGAGAATGGCCGGCAATGGTTACTGTGTGGAGCTGGATTAGCGGTCCCCACCAGCAGAAACATTGTCAGCGTGTGACCTAGATAGGGGGGGGGGGGCGCACAGCGGAGG